CTACTTTGTTATTAAGAATTAATTGAAAACAAGAGAAAATTCCAGTCTTATTCTATGTTCAACGCGTACTCTAAGGTATAATCATCGATAATAGAAGAATAATATGTAATTTGCATTCAAACAAATTGAATAAAATATATGTTTATTAAATTCTATTTGAAATTTTCACCACGAGTTTGACATGATATTGAAGGACGAGGCGTCAACACTAGGTTTACGAACATTTATTGTACAATTTATTCCCAAAAAGATTGATGTTCGTTCGTTTAGATCTTGGAAATTAGATATTCAAAGATATATTATTAGGAAACATATTCCCACAATTGCGCCCATCCAAACCGACGTAAACATTTACCAAAGAATGTTTAAAATTCAATATGTGTCAAGTTGACGCGTGCCGTGAACCTACATAGTGTTTTAATCGTGTAGATAATTTAACTCGGATTTCTGTTTATTGGAATAAATATTCGTAGAGAATTGTTCCAGTATTCGTGGAGAAATGCTGAATATTTTTTCCGTGCAGGAAAAGTGATGATTCTCTTATCACCGATCAGACAATACAGTTTGTGCCGTCGATAAAATTAGAGTATCCTACTCGTAAAAATATTTTCATAGCCCAACGCCTCTGTTTCATCGCAAATTTACGCTTTTAGACATTCTTCAGCATCGGTTAAACGTCCAATAACAGTTAACGGTATTCCAGGATTCGCGAAGTAAATTCTCTATAAACCCTTACCGTTAGAAGCCACTCGTACGCTCGACGCGATCAAATTGAACGTTCATCATACCTTTTATGAAACTTTGCACGTTTAATGAAGCTTGGAATTTTTATTGTCAATAAATAGTAACAGAAATAATCACCTTTCGTACGTCGAAAATGTTCGCAGATTCTTCGCGAAACGATTTCATTCAAAATAATATACATTTTAGATTCCGTTGAATTATTTTTCTGTTTAATTACTCCACCCAAATCATTAATTACTCCGTTTGAATACACTGGAAACAGTTTTATGTAAATATTTTAACGGTATACACGAAATACTATTCTTCTATTAATTACAATTTTATGTATACTTTCATAATGGTAAATATTGTTTATAGATCATACAATTTTTATTTAGAATCACTTAAAAATAAACTGAAGGAGACCTATAAGTTGTGATTGTATTTAAAAATTGAAATTTGAGCGTGGTATCTGTTTATAAATATTAATTTTTATTATCATTAACTTTACAGTTCACCAATGTTGAAAAGTGTGCACCTTTACATCACGTAGCTTCAGTTAATCATTTTTTACCTTCAGATGAGCTAACAAAAATAACAAAAATAACTATACTATAGTATCTACAGGTAAGTATAATGCATCATAGGAAACACTATACACCGAGTAAACACATGCTAATATAAGTATTTATGTGCAAATTACTTTAGCTTCTGTTGCATAATAAAAACGCAATTTATGATAAAAAATCTTAAAAGTATTAAAGAATACAATTTCAAGTAATGCTCATTTAAAATACAAAATATGCATCGAATTGAAAGAATCTCCTTCCATGGAAGCTAAGCATCGGATAAATAAACTTTTCGCCAAACTTTTGATTTATTCACGCATAACAAATCACCTCTTGCCCGGTTATACGATAACTTCGGATGTATCCCGCATATATCATAGTATAAACTTTGATTTATAGCGTGACTAATGTACTTCCTAATACGATAACTAATAATTCAGTATAATACTCGTCATAATTTTGGCATTGAAGAAATTAAGTAGCTCATAAATAACTAACTTTCCTGTATCTTCGCCATGCGTTATTAATGTTCGGATCAATTGAAGAAACGAGTCTATGAAAAAGAAGAAAGCAATACGTATACCATATTAGAACAAGAAATCGTACCATAAAATAGTACAGTAATTAAATCTATAAATCCCAAAATAGCTCAAGTCGATCAATCAACATTTCGAGAAAATAAATGTTTCTTTTCATCTTCGTTCATTCATTTTCTACTTTGTTGATTCTTGCTGCAAGCATTGGCTACACATACATATTCATTACATGCATATTTTTAACATTATTAAATTCCTTTGAGTAAGCTGAAAACAGTTAACCTGTCAGCTGTGGAATTTATTTTAAAAAATCTCTCGTTTCACGTGTAATAATATCGAAAAATGAAGTGTGCACGCTAAAACTACTGGACGAGTCATATTGATCCACTTCGCAATTTTTGTTTTGCAAGTATTTAAATTATCAAGGTGTGCTTGCAAAGGATTTTTAATTAAATTTGTGTATTTGTACAGATACAAGGCTAGATTAGAAATAAGTCATTCTAATTGCTCGGTACTTTTAGTGTAAATGAAAAACCAAAGGAAAACAAAGAAAAGTTATATGTTTATCCGAAAAAATCAAGAATTCATCGTTGAAAGAATTAGTATTTATCATGTCAAGCTTTACTATGACGTGTATCATCGTCAAACGTTAACTGGTTAAATCACTAACTCACATGGGTAACGTTAAAAGTGGATTTATGCTGATTTGGAATTCACAGCTTCAAATGTTAAATATTCTCCACGATGGTTTTCAACCTTACTCGGAACTACAATTCAACCCGGTAGCTGGAATTACTCTCTACGATACACGGCTCGTATAAAGTATGTCGGAACACCGATTATCGCGCGACTGCAATAGAGTGATTGTACGTTTGAACGAATAGAATGTGTGCGTGTTTCACTGGACAATGAAAGTAACAAGGAGAGAGTGATAAAAGAGAAAGTCTTCTACCATCAGATGGATAATAAGTACACTTCGACGTGATTACAACCTTTTTTGTCAAATTGCATGATATATCATTGCTGGCTTAATTTCTTTTCAAGTCTTCCACTTCGGTGCTGTCACTGAAACAGCAGATACGGTCTGATGACAAATTATTCTATGATAATCAGCTATGTGAGACACATAATGTTAGCAAATTTTTGTAGATAATGTGGAATAATGTACAGTTTAATACATTTTTAGTATACAGGGTATTCATTACTAAACATCGTTTTTATTGAAAATGATAGGTACAAAAAAATAAGTAAGGAAGAAATTGTACAGTTTCGAGAAACAAGAATGACCGATTTTTTAAATGAAATGGTATATATTTCTTTATGTCATACGAAAGCTTCTATTAAATTAATTAAAACTGTCTGTTTATACTCATGTGATTGATTAATATATTTATTTTTGTAAAAATTGCTTTGTTTAACATAATTGTACTAAGTTGTCCCAAAAGTTTCTTTCGTGGCTTACACATAAACATTTAGTCTTGTAGAAATTAAAAAAAATAACCATATAAAGCTTCCAAAAAATGAAAAAAGCCAATCGGTCTGACTTTATTAACACGATATAAAATAAAATACTGTGCATCCATAGCATATTAACTCTTAACACACCAATGCCGCCATATAAGCGACACTTTTACTTATTGAGTCCAATGCCGCGTATGTAGTGGCAAAAATCAATTTATTATTTTTATCACTGTTATTGTTGTAATATTTACATTTAACACGTTAAATATTGTGCTAGGTCACTTCTGTGAATTTGTTTCCGCTTGTTATCTATGATACGGTGTTTTTATATCGGCAAGTAAATTTGAAATACTTCCGGTCCGTTAAGGGTTAATAAAACGACAGAAACTTCTAGGGCAACCTAGTAAATTTTCGAGGATCTTGGAGATTATGAATAAATTATATTGGAATATCAAAGTTAAATTTGTAGGTTTGTTTCTCACAAAGTGAGGGATCCTTGAGCAGTGACCCAACAGGGCATGGATGCGGAATATGTGCATCATGTTTGCAGGAGTTGCACATTTCAGAGGAAATCCTAATTTGCTACTGGCTCTTCCACGTTCCTGACTATGCATTTTCTTCAAAGGGATGTTTAGAAGGAGAATTCAAGTTTGTTTGTTAATAAACTTTCGGGGCACTGGTATTTAGATTTATTAATTTTACGTTGGTAAACTAACGCATGAAATTTTGAAATGATCACTTTTCCTTAATTAGTACAAAAGTAAGTTTAGTAAGTTAAGTAAGTTTTAAATAATCATGTATGTCACGAAGACAGTAATAATTTGAGTCTTTTTATTGAATATTTCTTTTATTAAAACACGATTCTCATTAGGACTTTAAATGGCATTTCACGAAATTTAGTCCTACAGGTTAATCTGTTCCAGAATAAATGTGCATAGGAATTTTATTCATATTTCATCTGAATCTGTCAGACGTTTTAGTTTATTCCAGTCCGTTTTAATTTATAGAACAATTTATTCTTGAACCTCACACTTGCCCTGTATATTTAATAAGAATATCTATTTCGTGTAATTTTATTCAACACGTATAAGTTTCCACTTAAACGTTTTAAAAATAAAAACTTTGAGAAAAGTTGAACACTTAGTGTGCTTAATTAGGAACTTGAATATTTTAGTATATTAATTAGGTACGGAGAGTGGGTACATTATTCATTTTGTGTCTTTATTAGCGTTGGAGAGATGATGGAGAAAGGTAGCCTATTAATGTGAAACGATACTACCTCTTCGTGCAGTTTGAAAGAAATTGAATGATAAGGTCTAACAGCTCAGACGTATGTATATGTTCAATAGCTGCGAAATTATTAAAGTGAACCATTTCTCACGATCAGTAATAGCTTTTACGTACGTTGACGTGGAGGATTTTCAATACTAATGGTACTTTGAGAGTTACTTTTAAAATATGCTCATAAAATCGTACAAAAGAATAAATGATAACATTTTCAAAGATCCAGCTTCATAATGCTCAGAAGCACATGCATAATGTTTCGTGCACTTAAATACATCGTAAGATCAATTTCCAACTGAACCTGTTTTATAGAGCATTAATAAAGGGTACACGCTGCTATTAAAAAATACATTTGCGTTAATAATAATTAAAACGACGTAGCAACTAAATATTATAGTAATCACATAGCACTTTTTAGTACCCTTACCTTAATGCTCATGCGTGAAGAATGATGGGAAAGGGCGCAATTGCATCCTGCAAGTGCATCGTTGTATTTCTGAGAATAATGGTAACATGGGAACTCAGACTTCTTCAAAATCAACTTCTTCCTTTAGCATTTTTCTTCATCTAAAACCGAAAGAAGAAAGAAGATCCTATAATAAGTGCATATGAATTTTTAATAAGTTTGTAATTACATCTTGCACTTTTAATTTTTCAAGTAGACTAAGTCTCAAATTTCATAGGTAATTTGGAGGAAGTCAAGATCAAAATAAAATTTATCATCTTTGATTTATATTCATATACTTAATTTATACGTAAAACAATGGGAAACTCGTTTTTCTTTTCTATAGCAAAAATTCCTTTTTCCCGATTATATTAATTATTCACGTTTATTGAATGTATCTACATTTATTTATATTATAATTTGTTCTTTAAATTTAAGAAAGGAAGTATAATTTAATTTTTAATTATAATACATAAAATTCTAGATACTTTATATAAATCTGACAAGTGATTCAAGTGATCAATGATATGCTACAGGAAATTAGATCAACACTATTTTAAAAAAACACAGCTTTGAAAATTTTGCCTATAAATTATTTTCTAAGTTTAATCATTTTTTCTTAGTCCTCCTATAATAATTATAAAAGTAATTATAGGGAAAATCGAAAAGTCAACTGAAGAAAATGATTAAACTTAAAAATTAATTTTAAGTTAAAACTTTAAAGGGTGTCATTTAATTTCAAAACATTTTAACCATTCATATCAAGAAATTTTTGCTAAAATTTTCCGAATAAAACTCTGTGTTTTAATGATATAAGAACATTACAACATGTGTATTAAAACTGCGATAATTATTTTTGTAATTAATATACAATATAATATATAATCTAGTATTTTAATAGTGTGAACTTAATTAAATAATAATATTGTTAGAAGATTTCTAACATGGTTTAATAAATATAAATGTCACTTAGTTCTTTTGAATTTAAATGAAACATTATTTTCCTTATCAGCAATTTATGTGATTTAAAGTAAATCTAGAGATAAAGCATGGAATTTTTTGTTTTACTAGTCCATCATTAACGATTAATAGTTCTAACAAGTGCAACTGTGAAATTAGATCGCAAGGAAAGGGGTTAAAAAAGAAGTACATACAACTTCACCTGTTAACTGTGGAATTTAATTTGAAAAATCTCTCATAACGCTCGCAATGAAATCAAAGAATGAAGTGTATACTTGCCTAACGCAGGCCAAGTACACTTGTAATATATTCTAACGAAAAGCTAAAGCAAAACGAAGAAAAATTACATGTTTATCTGAAAAAATAAATAATTCATCGTTGAAAGAATATACTACACGTACCAGCACATATATATTACTATTTCCACTTTAACCAGCTAAATAATTAGTTATAAAATGAAGATAAACAAATTAGACGAGCAATTTGTTTAGTTAAAAACTTAAACAAGAGGAAAGAGAAAAACTGATAAACTGATTAATCGGACAATATAAGAATTGATAGAAAGTTAACTGGACCAAAGAAAATATAAAATTTTCAATCAAATTTTAAAACCGGTCATTTGATCGGTCGCGGTACGTTTAGTATTAAACTGTATTGTATGGGAATTAAGAATACACATGTACAAATCTGTCGAGTGATTCGGTGACATGCTAGCAAATTTCTGTTACTTGTACTGTCTTGTCCACGTCACCAGAGGCTGCGGTACAAAGATCAACGGTTCGTGACCACCTGTTCCACGATGATGTTCCATTGTTGTTCGTGGCATGACAGAAGCCGCAATTGTTCGTAGTATGGCATTTTGCCGGATACAGGATGCAGCAACATGCTCCATCAACTTTCCCGACGTCTTTTATCATCAAGACACTCGGGGATTAGCGAAACTTTAATGCTGATTAGACACCAGAAGACCCTCAATGAAACGTAAAACACGTAATCATGAGTTTTTTTGCACAAACCAAACGCCTGTGGCAAAAAGTGCGCACAGTAAATATTGGAAAATCGAAATTGGAATTGAAGTCGTGAATTATAAAACAGTACAATTTCACTATTACATCAGTTAACTACGTTTGACGAGTATGCACGTCATTTTAAAGTTTGAAGTGATACTAATTGTTTCAACGATGAATTCTTTATTTTTTCAGATGAATACGCAATTCCTCTTTGTTTTACTTTGGATTTTTATTAAAATATACTCTATGTATTTACATTCGTCCTGCGTTTGACGAATACATACTCCGTTCTTTTATTTTATTGGGCGCAGAACGAGAGATTTTTCAAACTCAATTCCACAGTTAACAGGTTGTCCATTTGAATACTCAATACCCGCAAACAAAACGTTCCGTGTGGACGAAATATTCTGTTGGTCATCTGAAAATTCATGAATTCTGTTAATTCACACAATTAGTTCAGTTGTAATTAACCCTTTGTACTCCAGAAGCGTTCCGCGGGAAATATTCAACATTTTCAAATGAGATACAGACGACATTTTCTGAAACTAACTTGACGAGAAATCGCACGTAAATTGAGGAATAAAACTGTTTTATTCCAATGTTTCACATATTTAAGCGTCATACAAAGATTTGTATTATATATCGAACTTTACAATTTAACATAGTGGATCACTATTCTAAGATAAATTTAAAAAATAATATCTTTGTACAAACAAAAATCTAAAAATTATTTTAGGTAAGTGTCAAAAATTTCAAATAAAATATACCGAATTTTAGGCAAAATATTGTTTTCAGTTGTAAATACATATTTGTTTTACAGTAATAGTAAACACAGGAAAGTGATGTAACGGTACAGAAACAAAAAATTATTTTTCCGTCAAATGCCTAGTGTTTAACGGTTTCGACCAACTATACGTCGAGGGTTGTAGCGTATTAAGGGTAGCTTGGTGGAGATGTGGCGGGGATGACGACGTTGCAATTATGCAGAGGTCCATGATGTTGCAATTATCCAATGTTCACTGTATTAAAAATGTATGAATACCTCTTGGAATCGAAAAAATTAAATATTAAATATCTTTATAAATGTCGTGTGTTGAAGAAAATAGTCAAATAAAGAACGACTGATTTTTGCTCTAGATTTATTAAAATAAATTTTATTAAAATTGATGATTCAACCACTTTGACATCTCCTTACCAGTAAAATTGACTTTTTTATTATTTTCATTTTTATCTTTAAATATATTATAAATACAGTAAATAAATAAATATATCAAATATATAAATAAATGTATCAAACTCATAAAACAATTCATGTTTATAAAATAAAAACTGCTTCACCTATTATTCCTTACTTAAAATATTTATTCAAAATGTTTCGCACGTCACTGGCAAATACTCGAATGCCTAAAAGAACATATCAATTTTACGAACGCGATACGATCCATTTCAAACATAATCCCGAATTGAATCTCGGAAAAGTTTCGAGCTCCCGAGCAGTCATGTGCAGAAATATACTTTCGGGATCTCTTTTGAGCCTGTCCGAATTTTTCCGGCTCAATACGAAGCTCGGTTATATGTATATCTGTATATCTCTATCGTTCTTCTCTGTGCTTTTCATTTTATTTTCTAACGATAGTATCCTTTGTTTTCAACGTATTATTAGTAAAAAAATAGGAAAATAATTATTGCAATGAATAACGTTGTAAAATATAATTTTATAAAAATTAGTATAAAGATATTATACAAAATTTAATTACAATTCAGTGAGTTTTGATGTTGGTTTCATCTAATTTTAATAGTAATTGTGAAAATTTATAGTTTTATACAGTATCGACTTCAATTTGCATGATTCAACTATATAAATAGAAATAATGGACTACGTTACATGTTAAAAATAATACTAACGAATAAATGAAATTATAAAATAAATGTTTCATTTATCTACTACATATATCCACATGGTTGAGCAATAACGAAGTTAACGAATCGTAATAATCAAGAAACAAGTTTCTTTAATGCATCTTCATTCACGATTCAACTGGATTTTATATAAATCTAGAACTGTTTTTTCTTTATTTGTTACTTGTATATACAATGAACAAACAGAGCGTGGAGTCAGTTAGAGTCAGATCACGAAAATGCTTTGCCAAAGGCATTTCGTCCAATGTTTGTCATTATTTTTTTATTTATAACAGCTAAAGTTAAATATTATTTGTATCATTAGTTGTTAACATACATGTGTATAAAATAAGTACAATGATAAATCTGCATTGGAAAATTTTACTTTTAAAAAGTAGGCAATTAGTAAAATAATTTTACTTGTATAAAATATTTTATCTTTTCCAAAAAAAGTGAATAATAATCAAAATTTATAGGCGACAGTGTAACTGGATCTATAGATTTTTAGTTAATTATTACAAAATAATAATTTACAGTTTCATTAAATCCTGAACTAACTGTAAGTTCATTATAATTAAGTTACGTCTATTCCGAAAGTGTTGTATTATGCATTAAGTACTATTAAGTAATAAGTAATGTATCCAAATGTTAGTGGTCGCTAACGACTTTACTGTTAATGTGACCATCTTAAAATAAATCCAAATATAAACAAAATAATTCCTCCTAATAGGATTTGAAGAAAACATCAAACGAAAGGCTGATGAAAAACTGTTAAAATCGTGGAAACAATTATTGTGACGTACAACTGCACAATTAGCTAACAACAGATTTAATCGAATGCTCCTGGAGTCACGTGTATAATCAGCCGGCCTTGTTAGTGCAACGTTAGGCTTCACAATGCCTCGAAATAAAATCGAAACTAAAGGCGAGCAGGTGTGGCCAACTGCTGTCGTTACACGGATTCGTTGTGATGTAATAATTCACGGCATTCGATAGAAAAACCGATTACACGTGACTGCGCTATCGACTTTCTCCTTTACAGATTTATTGCGTAACCCTCAATAGAATATAGGAACAAAGAAAATTTTCAATAATACAAATTTCCAAACGAAAAAATGTATTAAACGTTCTTAACATAAAGAACTATGTTAAAATATAAAATATATAAAAGACAATTTCACGTAATACTGAACTTTATCTACATTCTACCTTACATACACCTTATCGACATTACCCACATCTATTTGCATTCA